GTAATCTATGGATTAGGCTATGTGATGCATTTTTTTGTTACTTTACTCTTACAAGCACAAATCTTCCCGTTTTCAAACATTGATTTGAAACCCTCAGTTTGCAAAAAGTTTTTGAACAATTTTGTACCTTTGCGGAAGAAAGCGCTTCAAAAAGATTAAACGCATTACAACTCAAAAGGAAGTAGTTTTAAAGGTGAGTTTGCGTAACGGAAAGAATTACAAGAAAACCACTAAAAAGAGCAGCTGCACCCTGCAACTGCTGGGAGTAGTGCGATCAGCGAACGGAACGATCAATAGCTAAGAGAAGGTCGAGCTGGCGCCATTTCGCAGGTGACAGAAAACCGTCTAACAAACTGACGTTAGAGATTTTTAGGTGCTCTAGATTGCGCAATTCTGTACCAGTACCTTCTTGAATTTGCCTTCTTATCAAATAAATATATATTAGCCATTGTGCTTTTGCTATAAGCAACAATTTCATCATTAAACCATCAAACTATGGATGATTTTCCAAAAAAATAAACTTCAACTTAAACTAAGATCCTGCAAGTGACCTTACACCTGAATTATTAAGTACTGATAACTCAACAATGACATCACTAACCCTTTGAATGCTCTTTGGGACTACTCCAGAACATATTACTTTGATAGTGCAGCGAACGTAACTCCTCAATATTTGCTTAGCCCTAATCAGCGCTATGCTCTGCACTTAGAGAATTGATAAGTTATACTCGACAATTCAAATGCTGGTACAAAGTCAAAAATGTCAAACACTTCCTACAATCTTTTATTTATGTCAACAAATCAATTTGTAAAACAATTTCGGCCTAAGGACAATGACGTTAAAGTATAAATTCATCGACAGATAGGTAAAGAAAAGGAGATAACTATTTTGTAACAGGAAAAAATCTCAAGGTTAGGAGAGGGAAAGGTAAGAATACAGTTTAGTCTAGCTAACATAACGTGCCTTGCACTGTTTGAAAGCCTCGTTAAATCCATTGCATAGTGACACGTCCGACTGAGCTTGAGTGCTGCAAAACAGTAAAGTTTAGGCGAAATAATTGAGAATTGTGGTGAAGGCTCATAACAATCACTTACCACTCAATGAATTGTTTCCATTCGAATTCACATGGGTTCGCGTAAGCTTGTCCTTGAGGAGCTCCAGCTGGAACAGGGGCAGCTTGAGCTGGAGCAGTTTCAGAACTTCCACCGCCTCCAGTGAACATGCCGCCGACAGCGTGTCCCTATAAATTCGTTATATATCGACATAAAATCCTCATGACTAAACAGATAAATTATAAACGGACTTTTCCATATTAAGGTTTTATTAATTATGATTGGCATAGTAACAGAAGATTACACACAAGTAAAGATCTGATGCGCGACTAACTAGCACTTATCTATGACTAAATACTCGAACCGACGCATCACTAGAATTCGAAAATTAAAGATTGGGCATTTTCAGAGAAAAATTGTCAGATAAACCAGGCTAACCTCATCTGAATGTCTTTACAAAATTAAAACAACAACATACCACAGCACTTCCTATAGCAACACCTCCAGCCGTGGCTGCCATTTGAGCCATTAAACCAGGTTGAGCTGGTGCACCGGGCATTGGATGAGGAGCGGCTCCCATAGGTGCAGCTAAAATATTATTTGACGAAATACTGAGAATCAATAAAATCCCATTTAAGCCAAATCGCACCTGTTCTCGTTGGCATCGACGACATAGGGGCAGGGGTAGGAGCAGGAGCAGATCTCATTGTTGGTCTGGGAGCAGAATGCACTGGTGGCGAAGGTCTTGGTGAAGCGGTACGTCGTCTGACCATCTTTTTCTGAAAGCATGAACTAAGGAATACATCATAGAAAGAAAAATACACAAATTTCTGAATAAAGTACGAGAATCAAACGATATTGTTACTGATGGATGGAAGACTTCGAAAATATGAG